GTGCATAACAATAATAATTAATGTTGTCTACAAATTAATTTGTAAGGATTGTGGACGCTTCGTATGTTGGGCAAACCAAAAGAAATTACGCACTAGACTAAAGAGCATATGAATAATATTAAATTTGATTCCTCCAAGCATTCTGTGGTCTCTGAACATATTATAGATAAAAAACATGCTTTTGATTGGGATAACGTTAAAATACTTGATATTGATCTAATTATTATAAAAGACTTATCTCGGAAATGATACACATCAAGGAACAAAAGCATGGTATACATAATAACACAGACACCGAATTGCTTAACAACGCGTATTTCGACATTCTAGAAGAAATATCGAATTTTTAGACTTATGTCAAATGTTTATTTGTGAGATCTGACACCTATTTATCGACTTTTTAAAAGACTAGACAACAGTCAAGTACTAACAATAAGGCCAACACAATTAGAAGCATCGTCATCTCAATTATTCGGACATTTGTAAGCATAATAGGTTCAATATTTTAGTATTTAGTTTAATTTGTAATTTTTAATCTTTTTTTACATACACATTAGTGGAATCCTATTTTACAATTGAATAAATTCTCTAAATCAGTTAACAATATCAAATAATTTGGAAGGATGGACATAATCATTGCCAGATCGAGGGACTTTCGTCAAATAACGATAAGTGGTTCGTTTGGAGCAATGTATAAGTGTCACTCCCGAGTTTTTATTAATAATTCTAAAATATTTTATGAATAAACCGACGAATCACTCTGCTTCTAATTGGGTTCTTACTTTGTTGAACTATTTAATGGTTTCAATTCATTGTAAATATATTTTGCGTTTTAACTATGACTTAACTATATAACTTATATTGACTATGTATTGCGGATTTTTTATTAGAAATTTTATGTATTTATTTATTATCGTTATTTATTATCACTATTTTTTTTTTTTGCGCACTGAAGAGGAGCAAGTAGAGCTCGAAACGTTTGTGTAATTATTATTCAAATTAAGAATTTTCTTCTAAATAATAAAAATATCGTAATTTTTTATTGCTCGTTACACATGGCCTTAATTTAATAATTTATCATTGTATATAATATATACATATATATATATATATATATATATATATAATTATATACAGGTGAGCCATAATTTATATAATAAATTATATATATATATATATATATAGCTTTTCGGACCGCGCTTCGCGCGTCCTCATATAGCCTATATTAAATCCGTTTAACACAAAATTAATTCTTTTTTTGTATTAGTATTACCGCGAACTACTTTCCACATTTGTTGTCGACTTTCACGAAATTTATATCAAAATAATGTTTAAATTTTTTTGGATGACTACTATGTTATCTATTTCTTTCTCCCAGATATTTTATTTTACCGCGCGTTTTGCATATTTTTTTAAATATTTATTATATATTTTATTTTATTTATTTATTTTTTTTAATTTTATTTATATTTATTTTTATGCACATGGGTGCGTGGATACGTGGGGGGTGCGTGGGTGGATAAATAAGTAATAAAAATTTGTTAAAATCATATAGTAGCCATCCCGGACAAAATTTGAGTACAATTTCGAAAAAGTCTGTGAATAAATGTTTGAATACGTGGGTGGATGCATGGGTGGGATAAAACTTAAAAGAAACACAGCAGCTTTCTCAGAAAAATTTGCAACATTTTTGTACCAATTTCGTGAAAATTGGTCCATAAATGCGCATGCGTGTGGGTGAATGCGTGGGTGGAGGTGTAACACTTGAAAAAACCACATCGTCGCCATCTCCAAAAAATTTGCAACATTTTGGTACCAATTTTTACAAAAATCCGTTCATAAATATGCGATTGCGTGGGTGGATGCGTGGGTGGGAGTGTAAACTTAAAAAACCCACACAGCAGCTTTCTCAGAAAAATTTGCAACATTTTTGTACCAATTTCGTGTAAATTGGTCCATAAATGCGCATGCGCGTGGGTGGGTGCGTGGGTGGAGGTAACACTTGAAAAAACCGCATCGTCGCCATCTCCAATAAATTTGCAACAATTTGGTACCGATTTTAAAAAAATTGGTTCATAAGTATGCGATTGCGCGGGTGGGTGCGTGGGTGGAGGCGTAAACTTAAAAAACCCACACAGCAGTTTCCTCAGAAAAATTTGCAACATTTTGGTACTAATTTTGTGAAAATTGGTCCATAAATGCGCATGCATGTGGGTAAATGCGTGGGTGGGTGAGTGGGTGGAAGTGTAACACTTAAAAAAACCGCATCGTCGCTATCTCCAAAAATTTTGCAACATTTTGATACTATGTGTTCAGAAATATTGCAAAAAAAATTTTTTTGCAAAAACATACCCTCCTCTGAGGAAAAAAAATAAAAATTAAAAAATTAAAAAAAAACCCACAGCAGCCACCCCCGAAAAATTTGCAACATTTTGGTACCAATTTCGAGACAATCGGTCCACAAATGCGGAAGTAGTTCGGGTACAGACAGACAGACAGACGGACGGTGCTTATATATATAGATATTATATAATTTATTATATGAATTTTTTTATGTATAATTATGTACATATAATAAAACTTAATATTTTAAATTATATATGTATATATGTAATATATTAAATCTAATATATACATATATATATATATATAATATATATGTATATATATGTAATTTTTTAATTTAGTATAGTGCAGCTTTCGAAATATTTTTGCAGATAAATTACCTTAATTACAGTACAGATACTACTTTGAAGGAATTACGCGAGAAACGTGGTTACACGTATGAGGATGAAATAACATGCTCCAAAGAGTGTTTACCAAATTATGAAGAAAAGGTATAAGAAAAATGTATTGCATTTCTAATTCTAGATTCGATTGCTATTAAAGTAGCAGATTTATCGATTATAAGTAATTTAATTATGTAATAAAATTCAAACTTTAGATTTTGATAAAATAGCCATTGTGAAAATTAATATAAAAATATGTAAATTTTTTTGTATTTTGTCATTTCTCACAATCATACATCTTTGCTTAATAATCAGATCAATAGGAGCTTAATTCTTGGAATTTGAATAAGTAGCTTGTTTCAGTTTAGTTTATTGCTTAATTATATTTTGCTAATAAATTTGATAAAATTTTTTAACAAAAATATTGAAAAGATATGTATTCAAATTTTTTACTACTCCTCTAAATAAGTATTTATCTATTTATTTATTTTCCGTAGGGTGGTTAAAGGGGTATTGAAATTAAATCTCAAAATATGAGATTATTTCATATTTAAAATCTTGGCCGTGTCCAAGTTAAAATTTGGTGCCTTGTGCACCGGTATTTAATTCTAACAAAAAATTATTTAGTTTCGTTAGAACAACGCATTGTCATCCGCGATTTGGCTCTTGTTGCCCGTCTTATACGTTAAATTTATCTATTTGTTCATTAAACACTTGATGTAAATGTTCAATTTTTTCATAAACTTATAATATGAAGATGTCATAGTTATGAAAAATATATTTGTTACCTGTTTCTGTATATTTAAATATAAATGACAACTAATGCTGATAGGCTTTTTTTATACACGAGTAAATAAACGATGTAGCAATAATTAAATTATTTTATTTGTAATTATACCATGAGACGTTTCGAACATTACTTATGTCTTATCAATCAGTAAATTATAAAATCATATAACACATCAATATACGAGTACAATTTGTCCGCGCTTATTACATTTTACGCATAGTAATCCAAAATTTAAAATTGCCGTCATCTTATACTCCACTATCATACTTCGTTATAAAGAAACTATATAAATTTAGTATATGACTTGACGTTGTATTATTTGTGGTCAATCTGCGTGATTTTATCATATTTTTAATAAATTGAAAGCATATGAAGTATATATGATCACTTATATTATGAGATCAAGCACCGCTCGTATCGCAGTTTACATGTCTACACTATTTTACATGTTATCCGTATTATGTATGGATTTATACTGTGGGTGAACGCTCAAACAATAGACCTTTTTATAAACAATATTCGAAGGTGACTATTTTTATACACTGTTTATCGCTTCTATAAGAGAGAAATAACATTCGTCTAATAAGTCGGTGTCCTCCATATAATTTAATCCATTCTCTTGCTGTTTGATGGATATCATTTCAGATATTAACCTTTTAAAATAATTATTTTCATGATCGAGAATATCTGTTTCTTCCCATTTTATTGTGTGATTGCACTCCATGATATGTTGGGATATGACAGATAAATCAGATAGTTGTTTTATATTTCTTTTATGCTCATTAATCCTAGTTTTAACTGTCCTAAACTAACTTATCCTAGTTTTAAACTGTATATTTAATATTATAGTTTTCTAAATTTTTGTAATTATATTAATACTCTTCATCTAACAATAAGTATTTCATCTTCAGTTGAAAAATTTCTTCACTGAGCATCTTCATACCGATGAAGAGATACGTTTAATTCTGGATGGATCAGGTTACTTCGATGTACGAGATAAGGATGATCATTGGATTCGAATTGAAGTCATGGCCGGCGATCTAATAATTATACCTAGTGGGATTTATCACCGATTCACTTTGGATACTAATGTAAGCATCCTAGCATAATTGTTTTCTTTTTATTACATATTTTTGTTCTTCTCTTTTCAATCTTTTTCTGAGAGATACAGAAGAGAGTAAATAATTTTTAAATAAATATTTAACTTTATTAAAAGTTATTAATGTTATATTGAGAAATTTAATATCAAAGATAATTAATTGAGATAAAGATAAGTTATGTGAATTTTTTTATAAGAAAAAGTTTTGTCCTTAAAAAGATTGTCTCTCTCCCTCTCAATTTATTATAAATTCTAAAAATATATTTTTCTATAAAATTTCTAAATAAATTCTTTCAGAATTACATAAAAGCGAAAAGATACTTTGTGGGAGAGCCAGTTTGGTTGCCATACAATAGACCAGCTGATCACATGGAATGTCGCAAAAAATACCTCAAACAGTTGCAGAAAGGATTTTAAGTCTTCCCTTTAAGAACTCTGTATTAATGTTATATACACTTCCATAAAAATATATTTCTTATATCTAATATGTATATTTTTCGTTATATATATAAAATATTAAATATATGTTTTTACTATACAACAAACATGAATAATCTCTAAATATAAGTAACTATATGTAAAATATCCAAATTTTGCAAAATATTATTACATACAAATAAAAAAAAATTTAATTTTTGCGCATTTATTCTTCTAAAAAAAACTTCAGTTTTGCTCTGATATGTTAAAATTCTTTAATAGTAGATATCTTGTATCGCCAGTGATGAATAAAATTAAAAATAAATGTGAGACGACCCAACTGGCTTAAATTAATTCTTATTATTATTAGTTTGATGCCATGTACAAGAAAAGACAACGTTTCGACCTTAGGTTAGGTCCTTATCAAGTCTAAAATTAACATTAAAAACTACAATAGATGTACATACAAGAATTTTGATTTTTAAGAAAAGTAAAGCGCAAACCAAGATTATAATAACAATTTAAACGTACCTTACAAATTCTTAAGTGCAATATATAATTAATTTTGTTCCATTTTACATATTTCAATATAAATACCATCCGTTTAAATACAAAGTTAACACGATTAATAACTTAGTCGACCACGCTATTTTGTTATCAGAAAACGATTTCATAATGAGAACTTACAGATGGTTAAAAAAATCTTGTTGAATAATTGTTTCCCTAGGACGGTCATCGAGCGATATATGTATAAAAGAACATGTTTTTTAGAAAATTCTCATAACGTAGTTGACAAATATAATGTATTTGATATTTCGTCTTGTATTTTAATGCCGTATGTTAAGAACCTAAGTGAGACTATTGAGAGATCTATTAAGAAAACAGGCTTAAGTGTTATTTATACGATTCCAAAAAAACTTGATACGTTTATTAAACCCGAAAAGACAAATTACCTAAAGCCGATATGACCGAGATAGTTTATAAAGTTGACTGCAATGACTGTGACGCCACATACATCGGACAAACTAAAAGACACCTTAATACTCGGATTAAAGAACATATGAATAATATAAAATGCATGTCAGCAATCAAAATGTTATAAGCAAACATAGAAATGATTTTTCGCATGACTTTAAATGGACAAACTTAAATATTTTACATCGAGAAACAAACACTAGGAAAAGAGAGATTGCTGAAATGTTTTTTATAAAAAAATTTAATAACACGATCAACCTACAGAAAGACACAGAGAATTTGAATCCGATCTATGATAGAATAATCAAAGCTGTTTAACTTAGTTCGTCTTTACCATCCATACCGAACGTTTACGTGACACAATATTTATATTGAAATATGTAAAATGGAACAAAATTAATATATATTGCACTTAAGAATTTGTAAGGTACGTTTAAATTGTTATTATAATCTTGGTTTGCGCTTTACTTTCTTAAAAATCAAAATTCTTGTATGTACATCTATTGTAGTTTTTAATGTTAATTTTAGACTTGATAAGGACCTAAACCTAAGGTCGAAACGTTGTCTTTTCTTGTACATGGCATCAAACTAATAATAATAAGAATTAATTTAAGCCAGTTGGGTCGTCTCACATTTATTTTTAATTAAAATTCTTTCTTTACTTAAAATCTTTTTTCAATCATAAAAGTTTGAAGGTGCAAAAATTTTTAATTTTTTATAATCACATTTATATTTCCATATTATTAGTGTCTGACATATTCACACAAAGATTAATTCATATAATATATAAATAATGTTATACCAGCTTCAATTCTAAAGTAAGAAAGATCTTAATTTATACAATTATTCAAAATTATATACACAGTTTTTGACACATCCAATCGTTATATGTAGCACTTTGGAACAAAATATGATGAAAATGATTTTGTATTTTAACGAGAAATAAAGAATATGTCTATTATTTATAATCAATTTGTTCCATTATGAAATAAATCATTATCAAAAAATAAACAGAAATTTTTGAAAAGTGCCACAGGTATGGCAGTAGTGTACTGTAATATAAAATTAACTTAATATAGAACATAAAATTTCTTTTAATTCATCAATAAGTCTAAATATCACTGTGAAAAGCTTGTCAAACAATAACGACACTAATGAAAAGTATTATTATAATTGTAAAGTTGCAACTTTTTAAAAGGATTAACATAATAGCTTTTACCTTCCTGAAAACTTTTTCTTTAATTAGTTACAATAGAAAAAGAGAAAATATTAAATGTGTATGAAACTACGTAAATATAAGTTAAATTTATTTGAAGCATGTAAAAAAAGAGCACTTAGACAATTATTATAATTGTAATAGAAAATGCACTTTAATACTTTTCTTTAATGCCATTAGGTTATGCATATACATCTTAAAATATGTTATAAATTCTTCTTTCCTGTCACAAAAATATTTGTCAATTTTAAGGCTATTGTTAGTACAAAGTTATTTCAAAATTATAGATATTTAAGTTATTTTAAAATTATAGATAATAATTAATATACAAGCATTTTTTCTCCATCTAGGAAGAGATATACATACATTTATACGATATTTCTATACATTTATATATTTAAAAAACCTTTTACGTGTGTTAAAAGTTTGCACTAAACACTACGCCCGATGTGTTGTTCTTCTTCTGAGAACTTTCCTCTACGACTCCGAATTTTTTATATTCACCCACCTTCTTTTCGAAGAAATTGGTTTTGCCTTCCAATGAGATAAAGTTCATAAATGAAAATGGATTCTCCGAGTGATAAACCTTAAATTTCACATTATAATATTAAAATATATAAATTAGATAAATACAAACAAAAGTAAATTGAAATTTTATAATAAAAAAAAAAAAGAGAGAGAAAGAAATAATACCTTTTATATAAAACATCAATCATTATTTTATATAAAACATCAATCATTACAGAATATAAAGAAATAAACAAATTAAAATAGTAGTTATCAGATTTTTGTATACTTACTTTTTCAATCCTAACGCAACAAACAATCTGTCTGCAACGAATTCAATGTAATTACACATGAGTGTACAATTCATTCCTATCAATTGTACCGGTAACGCTTGTGTCAAGAATTCCTTTTCAATTTCTACAGCATCCATGATAATCGATTTTACGCGTTCAAATGATGGCTTCTGTACAATGTGTTTAAACATTAAGCACGCAAAATCGCAATGTAATCCCTAAAAAATGAACAATGAATAAGTGAACAATATGTTATATAAATACTTATATATATATGATTTCAATTAATTACTAACTTCGTCTCGTGAAATAAGTTCGTTGCTGAAGGTGAGACCTGGCATGACTCCTCGTTTCTTCAGCCAGAAGATTGCAGCAAAACTGCCACTAAAGAAGATACCTTCGACCGCCGCAAACGCGACTACGCGTTCAGGAAATGTGGCACTCTCATGATTAATCCAGTTTAATGCCCAGGTGGCCTTCTTTCTGACGCAAGAAAGCGTCTCAATTGCATTAAACAAGAAATCTCTGCAAATAAAATTATGGCATTAATGCATTTAACGTAATTAAAATCGTTAATTTTTTAAATAATAGATGTAAATAAATATAACGTATATAATAATTTCAATATATAATTATATAAGTAATATTAATTATAAAATATGCAATCTTCTTACATAATTGAAATAAAAATGTCAAAAAACATTATATCAAGATAAATATACACATTTATGTGCATATGTTAAAATGACTACAGAATATTGTCAACTATAATACTTGCTTTTCTCCTTGATCGGAAATATAAGTTTCGATAAGCAAAGAATACATCTCAGAGTGAATATTCTCTATGGCTATCTGGAAGCCATAGAAACAACGTGCTTCCGCAATTTTCACCTCTTGACTGAATCTCTCAATCAAATTCTCATTAACAATTCCATCAGAAGCAGCAAAAAACGCCAAGATATGAGAAATAAAATATCTTTCGTTAGAATTAAGCTTCTCCTCCCAGTCTTTTTGTCCAACTGTAAAAAATTAAAGTAAATTATAAAAACTTTTTAAAGCAAAATTCATTAAACTTTATTTGTATTTCTTTGAAAAAATTTATTAAGTTCTTACCTTGTGAAGAGGTACTTCTTCTATGGTCCAAAAGGATGCCACAGCCTTTTTATACATGTCCCAAATATCAGGATATTGAATGGGGAAAATTACAAAGCGATTTGGACCTTCCTGAAGTAGTGGTTCCAATTCTGGATTAAACTCTTCCTTCAGTTCTATCTTTCGCACTGCTTTTGTTTTGGAAAGCTATAAAAATTTATAAGTATTTTAATTCATGGAATTTCAATAAAAAATAAAATATAATAAGAATATATTGAATTTAGTAGTAAAATTATATTTACTCCATTTTTCAATCCATGGTCCTCAGATATAGTTGGTGATATGCATGATTTCTTTGGTGATGTCTGCAAAAAAAGATCGCAATTAATCTTAAATTTAATAAAATAATATAATCTAAATAAATTCTCTCTATAACAAAAAGATTATTGATAATGAAGTAATAATTTCCATAATAATAACTATTTCTTAAATCATTTATTATATTATTCATGTAATTACTAATAACTCAATGAAATCTTTGCATAATTCAAACACCGTATTAAATATTTTTTGAAGAAAATAGTATGTGGGGTTACTATTTTGTGAAATTAATTATACAAATTGATTTGTCAATGCAAATGTGACATTTCAATGATAAAATAATCAACAAAATCATAAAAAATTTTATTATTGAGAAATAATATATTAAATCCTGAATTTAGATATGCTTATTGTATTTTAGACTAAATAACATTCAGAATTTTATATTTTATATTGTGTACTTATATGGAATAATAAATTGTTAGAACATATTAATAAAAGGGAAATTGCTTATATTTTCATGGAATGATCCTGAATTCAAGAGTAATGCAAAAAAAATGGTAATGACCGACTATCATCCTCAATATGCATGTGCAGATATCATTGCCATGGGATGATTTGTTTGACTTCAAATTTATCAAAATCAAATCATCAAACAAACTCC